TTGCTGCTGCTGGATCTCATGTGCGGTGGTCTCTCCAGTGCACCTGTGGGCTGCGTTCCTCCTCTCATGGTGCTTGTGCTTCAGGGCAGGTGTTAGGCCCGGAAGTCCTGTAACGGACTACTCCTCATCTGCTTGGCCACCAGTCAGGGTCACACGCGGGGTTTCTCTCAGCGATCCTGCCTGTGGTTGCACTGGCTGTGCTGCCCAGTTGCTCCTGCTGACTAGTTGCCCATTTACACTTCATGGCCATTACTAGTCTCCTCATGAATTTATGGTCTGGCAGACTCCCACTGGCTGCCTTGACCACACATTTTTTAGTCTGCTGTTGTCCAGGAGGATGTTCATTATTATGACCCCTTGTCAGGACCTGGGGGAAATGGTTTCTAGGAGAGGAGGTCTTCTTGAAAATAAGAGAAATACTTTCTCTATGTTCCATTGTGTTTTTACTTCAGAACCTTCTCTACTTATCTATCTGGCTGACAGAACTTTAATTCCTACATCAAAGGCCATATGGTTTCTAACCCCAGAACACATTTTAAATCCCTTAATTTATATCCCTTCCTCCGCGTGTGGAACGGGCATACTTTCTCTCCTTCTCTCCCTCTCCCTCTCTATCCCTCCTTCCCTCTCCCAAACTCCTAAACAGAGGGTCAGAATATCTGGTCTCAAATCTAAAACTGCCATATTTCCCATATAATGTTAGACAAATCAATTCATTATTTTCAGTAGCTGTAAGATTAAATCTAAGCTCTGTACCTTGCCAAATTCACAAGTTTTTTGTGAGGCTGAAATGAGGAAGCAAATTCATTCATTTGGTATTATGCAGCCTTTAATATTTATCAAGTGCTGTACTGGATTCTGGAATACATTTATGAAGATGACAAACAGGATCCCTACTCTCATGGCACTGGTTGGGAAGACAGATATTAGATGATGAAACAAATTCAGTGTTGTACATTGTGGTAGGTGCTTTGAAGCAAGTGACGAGAATGACAGGGAAGGAGATCCTGAGGTAGGGCTGTCAGTCGCCCTGAGGAAGCGAGATTGAGGAAGTGATACCTGAGGTTACAGTATCTGAGAGAGAGCCCACCGTTTCCTGAACTTTATAAGCTGTGAGATGTCACCTCAATGCATAGTAGCCCCCTCCAATCCCCTGTGCAGTAGGGGAAGTGAGAAAGCAGTAAGTTTATCCGATTTCTGGAGCTATAACTTGACAGTAATCTCTGTGCTCTCTTGCGAACCTCCATTTTTTTCAACCAAATCATTTATCTCTTCCTCCTCTTCTGTTTCTGGTTTGTGCTGGCCTAATCTAGGCACTGGCCATCTGTCCCTGTCTGTGATACTGCCTTCCTGTGCCCACTCTCAGGCTTCCCTGCCGCCATTGGCATGCTTCCTTCCTGCTGCTTTCGCCTGCTGCTCACTTCAAATCCCCCTGCAGTGGGTTTCCCTGTGTAATAACCCTAGGCTTCTGAAACCTTCTCGAGGGTTTGCTAGGTTGCCTCATTTTTTGGCTAAACTACCTATCCTTCACAGTTTAAGCAACTTCCGATACCTCCAGAAAGAGGGAGTACTTCCAAATTAATCTGACTGAACCTGGCTGGCACAGTGCCCAGCATATAGCAAGCTCTCAATAAATATTTACTGAATAATAAGTGAATGAACTGACACTCCTGACTTTACTCAGTCTATCTATAGGATTAAAGTGCTTTTTCCTTAATCACGTTTGTTGTTTCCTCATATGTAGAATGCATATAAAAACCTTTACCTTCCGCTATATAGGATATCGCAATCTTACCTCTTATTCACAAGATTTTTCTTTTAAATCGACTCTATTTGCTCTACACGTGGAACTTTGTCGTTGACCCCCGAGACACCTGGAGGCGTTGACAGTGTCTCTGAGATTTTTCTGTGCCGTGTCCAGCACAGTGCATAGCCACAGGCACACAGCACCTAGTATGCAAGTGTTTGTTTACTAATGATAATAACAGTCACTGAGATTGCCGTTGTTTTGGTTTGTATTTTCAGCATCCTGAATAGTCAGATGTATTCATTTCAGATTAAGCAGAAACTGTCAAAGAAAAATCTTTGTATTAGGGAGGTTGTCATATTTTCAGAGTTAAGTAGAAACTAAAAGCAGTGTTTCTTTTGAAGAAAATTTTCAAATATGTCCAGAGTTTGGTCTTAGCCACTTTGTGCGATATTATTGATCACCAATGGCAATAATAATTTAGTCTCAAACAACTTTTCGAGATTTTTCAAAAACAAATGGAATATTCACTTTTTTAGGTATAGAGGTCTGTTTAGACTCATCACTGCCAACCTGCTTCCAGAATTGTTTCTTAAGTGTTGTTAAGTATTCATTTAAAAGAAATAAAAATCTTATTGTATTGTGTCAATTAGAAATAACTTATAGGGCCGGCCCCGTGGCTTAGCGGTTAAGTGCGCGCTCTCCGCTACTGGTGGCCGGGGTTCGGATCCCAGGGGCGCACTGATGCACGCTTCTCCGGCCATGCTGAGGCCACATCCCACATACAGCAACTAGAAGGATGTGCAACTATGACGTACAACTATCTACTGGGGCTTTGGGGAAAAAATAGGAGG